ATTCGGTGAGCAATTGGAAGTTCTGACAAAACTGCTTCCACATTAGCATGTTTTTTCACGGTCCAAAATATTATCGATTTGAGGGCTAGATTGATAGTGCAAAAGGACCTATTACCAAGCTACAGGATAAGACTAAAGTTTAAGTTTGTGAAAGAATATTCCTCTCAAATGAGGTAGTACCTCAATGATGACTATTTCATTTCAAATGTGCTTCCAACCAGGACGCAAAATCAGTCAAATACTTGACGGCTAAGAAGTCAAAGCACGGCCTCCAAAGCAAAACATACGTAAGTCGACTGTGTCTCAGCTATTATTCAAGGCACCGTTTCCCCAGCGTTAGCATTTTTTCGTTTTAAACTACCAAACTCTCAACACTTGCCTGGGTTTTTTACTATGAGAGAAGGAATATCCTTAAGTTTCGTGCTGTAGTGAGCGAAAATTCCAGATAAACCTGCAATCAAAAAAATTGTCCATATCAGAGGCTACAAGACAAAAACGCAATGCCTACCATTTCAATGAAAAAGTTATAATCAAACAGTTTCAAAGACATATTTTTTTGTAAAAAAAAATTGCACAACACAACTACATTTTAACGGGACCGAACATAATAAAATCCGCTTCAATAAATTCAACTGGATATGAAAAGCCAAATCTTTAAATTAATGAAAAGTGAGGACAAAAATGACATGGGTTTGCTCTACCATGCCGCGAATGCCACACTATACTACCTCCTTAAATGGGAGCCTACCCTAGTGATAATGATGCACCGTGCGCTACAACAGTGGTGGGGGGTACAACGTAAACGCAGTTCGAGGCTTTTATTGTTTTCCAACTGCATTGCACAACAAACGTGTCAACGACACATGCGTCAAATTTTGGCTGGTCTACAATTCTAAGTTTCACTTTTGGAGAACACTTTGGTGTTTATAAGACGCGTTTGGGTTTATTGCGTAGATTCGTGACTTATTATTTAAAAGCAACTAAAGCAACGACACCAATCAAGCAGACAATTTACGGAAGATTAGGAATACCTTCTACAATGGCGGTCCTCTCAGAAGCAAAGAGTTCGCGCATGGCTTTAATGACCTTCTGAAGCTTTTTTGTACTCCTTTTAATCTCATCTTTTCGTTCCAATCTAAAAAACTCATTGACGTCATTATAACGCTAAAATGGATGGTGGTTCCAGTATTAATTGCCTTTAAGCAATAGTGACCACGAATGATAACATCGTCAGGCGCCAAGCAAACTACGGTATAAGTTAAATTTAGAGTGGTATGAAGTAGTGTGCCAAAATAAACCCTTGACTCTCCATGGTCATAGTTAGATCTACCTTAAAAACAGATGAAAAAGCTGACAATTTTTGTGTGCCGCACACCTAAATTCTTCTAATTATGAAACCGTCGGTGGTTACCGATAGGAAATACACACAGCAATGCCTATCTAATGTGGCAAGAGGCATTTGAGTATAGGGAAAATGAAATAGCTGGGGTGACGTCGAAACCAGTTTTTAACTCACCACCGCGAAAATTAACTAGGTTGACTTACATGTCATAACGAACCAAAGAGGCGCCAGGAGAGTTTACCCGGCTGGTGATGCTCACTTCAGACACCTTTGAATTACCTGCCGCTGCCCATTTCTAAAAATTAGGACAATTTATCACCTGATTCTAACCACAACAATTACTAAAAAACCTCAATAATGTTGACAAAACGTATGTTTGCGAAGAGATTTAAAAAAGCGTGCCCGTTTCACCAGAAATACAGCTTCAGTTGACTTGCATTAGACATCATGTTTAAAAGGCATTTATTAATCAGTGCTACACTCCCCATCATCGCATTTAACTGCTCTCCAACGCTTTACAGGCTTTAAGCTCTTGCTTT